ACACCTGTATAAACACAGCACACCTGCACATATAACACATCTGTACACACACAGCACGACACCTGTATAAACACAGCACACCTGCACACACAAACCACACCTACTGACACACAGCACACCTGCACACAAATGCAGCACACCACACAGGTGCACACATTTCCCTGGAAGATGGCTGAGAAGGGGACTTGCTGGGTGAGCTAACTGGACCTCCTCACATGCTCGACAGCTAACATGGCTCACAGCAACTCTTGAGGAACAACACAGTCTGCCGTCTGCCTTTCTGCTCCAGGGGGTCTGAACGCCCATAGGGCAGGGCCAGCATGATGCCCCCACTTGGCTGAGCCTTCTCCCCTGCGGCTTCTGAATGACCACTGGCTTCTCGGTTCTCCTCTGCGGCTCCCTCATCAGGATGCAGGCCCGGCACATGACCCTAAGCCCCCAGTGCCACATGCCATCCCCTGAGTGGGAAGGCCTGCCTTCCCCCGGGCCACTCGTGTCTGCCTCGGGTCCCATCTACCAGAGAGAGTGGGAGACTAGCCCCTCTGATCAGGGTTGGGGGTGTAAGTGGGAGCTGGCCACCTGAGTCTGCCCTTGGACTCATCTAACAGAACAGGTCGGAGACTGTCCCCTCTGGTCAGCGCCAGGGGTGTAAGTGGGAGCTGACCTCCTCTCAGTCGCTTTCCATGGCTGAGCTGACAGGGGAGGGGCTGGGTCAAGAGAGAGCTGGCCCCCAAGGTCCCAGCTGGGTGACGTGAGCCGACTGTCCCTGCTTTGAGTCGGTTTGAATAACCTGGCTCCCACCCCCTGTGTGTCCTTGCCGCCATCACCTCTGCTGGGCTGGGAGGGACACACACCTCTCCTGGTTCCAGGCACAGGGCTCCAGCACAAGCTCTTTTGCAGGCAGGGGACATGGGGCTCCCAGCGCTGCCTGGCGAGCCCAGGCCTTCCTGGAGCACAGAGGCAGGGCAGGGACTTGTGTCCACCACCGCCCTCACCCGAGGCCCTGACTCCCGCACTCAGCCTGACCCTGGACCTGCCTGCCCAACTCCAGCAAACTTGCTCCTCCTTGGTCTGCCTGTTGTCAGCGAGCGGGGTGGCTGCGGGGTGGAGTGCACTGCACGGCACCAGACGGTAATTACTGCTCCTGGCTGCTCCTCCTCGCACCAGAGCTGAGGCCTGAACAGCGTGGGGACCACGAGGGACCACTGGGGCCATGGACTGAGCCTCAGGAGGCCATGGGGAAGCCAACAAGCAGCACAGGTCCTCTAGCCCGGACAGCAGGGCCGCGTTCCTCAGAGGGATGGAGTGGACAGGAGCAGAGCCAGTGTCCCCCCACCCCGCTCACCACAATCATGACGTAATGCCGGCCGCCCTGGTGGAGCTCTTGCACCATGGCCGGGAAGTCCCTGAAGCCATCCTGGTTGAAGGTGAAATCCCTCTTGGCGTCCATGTAGTCCAGGTCGTTCCACTGGACATCCTGCAGGCGACCACAGGGATGGACAGCTGTCAGGCTGGGAGGACAGTGCCCTGGTCTCTCAGCACCCCAACCTGCTCCTGCCCCCCAGGTCTCATGGAGGAGAGCAGAGGGCCCCTGGTCACATCCCCTGTTTCCCAAGACTCACCATGGCTCTTATCTAGGGGGCTCTTATCTAGTCCCCCAGGACTCACGGGGAGGCACCCAGGACTCACGGGGGTGGGGCCCAGGACTCACGGGGGAGGGGCAGGACTCACGGGGGAGGGGCCCAGGATTCACGAGGGAGGGGCCCAG